TTCGTTTGACTCGTTAGAAAATTCTTTACATCGCCAGAACGAATCCGTATGACCCGCCGATAGTCCCTCTGCTACGCTGCATGGTTTATGTTCATTATTCCTACGAGGGAAACCTAACCAACGTACTACAATTTCTCCGCGCAACAGTGTTCCGGCCTAGGTTGTGTATAAGGTTTAGGTTTGATAGCAAGCAGTTTTCGTCAGCAATCTTTAGTATGCCATGCTAAGTCTTAGCCATACATGACCGACAAAATGACAACGTTGACCCCCCCCCCCCCAAAGTGACCCGTGGGGGAGCTGTACGCTATCGGGTGCGACCCCAGGTTGCGGATCAAGGAATGAATTCCTGGTGAAGGTAACTGCGAATAAGTCGTCTGCTTTGCAGTCTAGATGAATAAGCGGCCGCGGACAATCAGCGACAGGGTCTCAGAGCGTGGGAAGTTCTGGGCTGGTCACTTGGTACTGCATCTAATATCACAAGTGAACGTACGGTGCTGTGTCAAAACTAATGTGACGGGCTACAGGGTTACCGACAACTCATTTCTGTAAACGGAGGTGAGTAACTAACGAAGGACGGATGAACAAGCCATCTCGCCACCGGCTTATCTATAGACTGCAACCGCACACAAAGGCGAATGTGCCAGCTGGCTGTCAACAGTCTTCGTATTCGCCCCGCTGCCTTGCAGGTAAGGTCTTTAAGACCAAAGGCTTCGGGTTGGGTCCCTCTCCCATGCCTTAAGCAACCGAGAAGCTAACTGCCCATACAGCACATGGTACTTTGCATCCGTTCTTTTGACTCGCTATCTTCCTCCCTTCTGTTGTTGTTACGCATGGGTCATGGCATTCTGCCAAATGTTTATTCGGCAAGCGTTATATATATATATATATATATATATATATATATATATATATATATATATATATATATATATATATATATATATATATATGGCAGGAGAGCCTATGGTGCGCTGAGGCTGGTGGTGGCTAGATCCTGACAGATGGTCTACCCGATGCTGCTACTGTTGTGCCATTGACTTATGTCCTGGGCGCCTCTTCGTGGCGACCGCTGGGTGGGAGTTGGGTTACGCCCTTCTCCCTGTTAAGATCCAGGACACCAATCCGCATGAGTCAGTGAACTGAGCATGTGCTAGACCCGCTGCCTTTCGGGTGTTCATTTAATCGAAGGCCTTGGCTGAGGACCCGAATAAGGTGTGGGCGCCCTGCCAGTATCCTAGCCTATCTTCTTCGGAGATTAGGAATTGGTCGATGGACCTCTTCCCGTAAAACCTACCAATGGAAGATAACAGGTATAGGGATTATAAGCTTACAGCTCGATTGGCGTAGAGCAGGAGCGCCACGCATAGTCGCTGACGATGAGACGGCACCTCCGGGTGTTCAATGGTTTACCAGTGTCCGCCTCAAGCCAGGCAGCCCCTAAACAAATTGGAGCAAACTCGCCAAAACCCTCCTGCGTGTGGTCGCGGTCGCAAGTGTATCCTACCAAGGTCGCAAAACACATATAAATCGTTCCAGTACCACAAAGGTTGTGTCTGATGACCGTAAAGCAAATACCAATCTGTCTCTGCAATCACATTCCCGAGCTGGATCTGCTCCCCACCGCATTGTAGGTCAGGCTATTGAGCCTAACGCTCCGGGCGGAGTCCTTCAAGCAAACCTCCGAAGCACAACAACCACCTCGCGTGCGATTGCCTACCAATGCAATCGTATGCCTGCGCCCAAAGCACTCAGCATCGCATGCTAGAACGTGCGCACACTACTGGACCGGAACACAAATGAGCGTCCTTAGCGACGCGCTGCACTGGTTGCGATGGAACTGGCGCGCTACCACATCGATATTGCGGCGCTCAGTGAAACCTGGCTCGCTGAGCAAGGTAAGTTGCATGAAGCAGGTGCTGGCTACACATTCTACTGGGTGGGCAACGCCACCTCAGCACCGCGTGAACACGGGGTGGGATTTGTAATATCCGATCGCCTACATGGCCAGCTGGTAGGTGAACCAACAGGCATCAGCGCGTGACTGACAAATGCTCGCCTACGACTCAGAAGAGGTAAGTTTGCTACTTTTATAAGCACGTACGATCTAATCATGTGTTATCCTGAGGACATGTGTGATCAACTCTACACTCAGCAATCCTCCGTGATACGGTCTGTGCCGAGGAGCAACCGACTATTTCTGCTGGGCGATTTCAACGAGCGCGTTGGACATAACGCATCGGTGTGGACAGATGTTATCGGTCCGCATGGCATTGGTTCAGCGAATGCGAATGGTGACAGGCTGCTCTCACTGTGTGCCACTCACGGACTGACCATCATGAACACTCGGTTTGCACTGAGTGCGAGTGATATAGCAACTTGGACGCATCCACGGAGTGGTCACGCTCACCTGCTTGACTATGGCATCGTACGTCAACGTGACGTGCGTAAAGTGCACATGGCACGGGTACTGCGTGGAGCTGAGTATGGCACTGATCACAAACAGGTGCGGACAAAACTTAACATATATTTTCGTAAATCGATGTATTGCACTCCCGCCGTGAATTGGCGTAAATTTAACATTCTCTCCCTCGGTACTGTGGCGAAACGAACTGAGCTGGAGAAGACGATGGCTGCACGCCTGTGTGATGTGGACTGTATAGCCACAGTGGGCGACCTGTGGCACCACATTCGCGACCAGGTGACAGCTGCTACCGAGGAGACCATCGGGCTCGCGAACTGTAAGCGGCCTGATTCGTTTGATGAGAACAATGCAACGAATGGCGCACTGGTGGGAGAAGAATGCACCATTTGTTTCACATGTGGTAGACCCCGGTGACTAGGGAAGAAGAGAAAGATTAAAAAATTCGAAGGCGACTGACCCGAGAGCTCCGTCGCACTAAAAATGTATGGTGGAGGGAGTAGGTGAAGCAGATGGAATTCTACGCCGAACCCCACCAACACAAGGAATTCGTTGACTTCTTGAAAGCAGTGTATGGACCTAGGTTGGAGCCGCTGAGGATGCTGATCGATGGTGGCTAAGGTGCAACCTGCATACAGACCGCAGACATATTACAGATCTGGCAAAAAGACTTTGACGGTCTCTTGAACAACCGTTCAGAGATCGACTGGCCTACATAGAACGGCCTCAAGCAGCACAAGGTGAACATGAGTATCGTGGACGCGCCGACACTGGATGAGACGCTGGGATGAGATGCAGAGAGCACTTGCTCAGCTCCGAAACGGCAAGTGTGTCGGTGCCGACGGGATCCCGCCTGAAGTATTGAAACACGGCGGATCTGCGTTGATGGCTGCGTTGCACCACTCGGTGCAACGCGTATGGATTGAGGAGGAGGTGCCTCCTGAGCTGAAGGATGCACTTGTGCTACCACTGTACAAGGGCAAAGGTAGCAAGCAATGTTGCACGAATTATCGTGGCATCAACTTGCTGAGCTGTTTGGGCAAGGTGATGGCCCGATTTCTGCTCAACCGCCTCGTCAGTCAGGTTGTGGAACCTAACGTTGCGGAAGAGCAATGCGGATTCCGTTCGGGTCGCAGCACTATAGATATGGTGTTTGCGGCTCATCAGTTGCAAGAGAAGTGCAGAGAACGACACCAGCCGTTGTACTCTCTTTTCGTTGATTTCACCAAGACATTTGATACGGTGAACCGCGAGGCATTGTGGCTGGTGTTGAGTAAGTTTGGTTGCCCGCGTAAGTTTGTAAGTTTAATTGAATGTCTGCACAGTGGTATGCGGGTGAGGGTGCAGCTGAGTGGACAGATCTCTGATGACTTTGCAGTTGTTACTGGTGTGAAGCAAGGCGTCGGTACGCAGTACCTACGCTTCGCTGCTGCGCAAACACCATCAATCGCGCGTTGGCTAAGGATACTGTCAGGGTCGCGCGCTCTCTACGCAGGTTCGAACCCGCACCCTCATATTACAAGGCAACCTCGTGGTCCCTTAGGAAATGGAAGGGGCTCGCTCATAACCTGGTCAGCGTATACCAGCAGCTTAGTTCATAGGCTGTAAAAACGGCGAAAAACGACACAAAGAAGTGAGAACACATTGACGAGCTATGGAAATGGACACAATTTTCACATGCATCCTGAATTTCCAAAACTAGTTGGTCAGATCCTCATGGTGAAGTGCCGGTACTGCGGTTGAAGAGGTGTTTGCTGCGTTCCGTAAATCAACGGATGTATAAATGAGTCGCCGAAGTGTGATCGACTAGTATTCCCGAGTGACGTCCCAAGTGATGCCCCGAGTGACATCAAATGTGAAATTTTATAGAGTGCTTGGTTGATTAATGTCGTCATCTCGATTACTAACCTCAATAAAGTGCTAATCAATGTTGGTTAGAGGTAGTGGAAGTAAAAGGTGCAGAGTAGTTCAATCAGGAAACGAGGTACGGCTCAGTGACTTCGAATTCCCTATCAGTGATGCAGGTATCTGAGCGGTGTTAGCAGGCATTGTATAACTCCGTCTTATTCCTTCCGATTCACATTAGGCGAAGGTCAGTGAGCAGAATTGTGGGCAAAGTGGCAAAAGTCACAGGTGATCCTGGGAGCAGTGAAGTCACGATGATAGGCACATTCAAAAAAATAGGTTCCAGAACCATCACAAGATATCGAGATACAAAATCATTCGGAAAGATGAAGTTCACGCAAACGCAGCTGACTGCAGTTAAAAAAATTGTAGAGATGACAACGGTCTGCCAGTAACTGAACAAACAACTGATTAAGATGTTAAGATACATAGGCACCCGCACAACTTAAAGCAACCACGATAGTCGCGGGATAAAGAAGTGTCCTGAGAAGTAAAGCTACCAAATGATAGTAAAACCTAGGCCGTAGAAAACTAGTAGTAGAAGGCGAAAAAAGAGCAGGGTTGAGTTGACTCAATATCTATCATAAAAGAATAATAGCAGAACGACCTAAGGAGGGTGGAGCTAACTTACCGGCTCAGGATAAACAAAGCCCAGTTGGAGGTGGCACATGCTTACCTGTGCGCAGGTTCGGAGTCAAGACCAGGGTGTATCCATCAGTTGGGCGACGAGTATATTTATCCAGTTGCCTGTCGTATCGTAGCAAGTAAACCAAAGGATAGACGGTCAAAAACTTTCCGACGTGGGACTCTTCAAAATTCCTGATGGCGCAAAGAAGAGGGGTAGCGTGGATGAGGGTTAACACAAAAGTAAATAGGTTAATTACAGATGATTTGTTAAAGCAAAACCGGCAGACAGATAGGGAACGTGTGGGAAAACGTAGAGGGCTGTTCCTTCTTTTCCATATTCATCTGCCGCGCAAATTCCAGCTAAGCTCGAGGGCGGTCAACCCTTTGCAAAGTGGCAATTCGCACTAGCAGGAAGAGGGGAAGTACCAGGGTACACCATACACGTTAGCTAAAGATGGAAAACACCTCAGCTATTGGTCCGCAACATGTTAAAACAGAAAGATGCAACAAAGCACGCCGGCTGAGGCACCGGTGACGGATGGACATCGTTCTGGAGAGCTAACAGCCGACGGCTGTGCCGCAAAATGAAGCGTTACAATATGCATATGAATAGAGATGCTTGTTAGAGGGGCACGCTAAGCGGAAGAGGGAGGAACAAAGAGATACCAGGGTGAAATCCTATGTGTTTCTTAAAGAACTCAATCAGACGCGGAAGGATGAGACAGTTGTGCGATGGCTTTTCGAGTGTAGTGGTTGGGTGGATAAGGTAACCAGCCTGATCTGTAAATTCTTTGGAAAAGATATTAACGCTTGGCGATAATTACGAGTATCGACACATTTGCAATCGATATGGGGACGGAAACAAAAGACGACTGAGGATCGTACCTACGGACGACTTCCTGAACAGCTGGTTTGATTCGGTTGAAGCCGCAAACTTCCCCACGATTATGAAGCATACTAACTACCGTATCACAGCTACGGAACAACTCCATTAAAATACGAAAGCTAGAAGGTAATGGAAGATCTGTGCGGAACTTCGTTTCCGTGGCTTCGATTTGAGGTTCGACAGCTACTTCTTCTGTGGGGGGTTCAGATTTCAGAGATGATGGAGCTGTAGAACGCGTAGTGCTGGCCAAGTGATCGAACCGTTCGTGAGCTGGACGCCTCAGTATGGACGCGCATGAAACGGATGAAGATGATACCGCTGTTTTCAACCGTGTTTTCATGGGTACGAAACATGGGGAAGGCAATGGTTCCTGAGGAAAACAATCAAATCATCAGTAGAGTTAGAAATATCGAAAGAAATAGTTGTGGCGGTGAATACCCAGAGAGAAGAAGTGTTGCAACATGTTTTAACCTCTTAAGAGATGTTGGAAACTAGAAAAGATACGATGACGAGTAATATTGTAAGCAATATTTGTGCAGGCAAAGCCAATCGTATCGGCACGAAATGTAGTAGTATGAAAAGATAAAGTGACGGTGTAGAGATTGACTAAACAGAACCAGTTTGAAACTGCACTGAAAACGGAAACGCTGGAATCGCTTGTAAACCAACTACAGATGGACAGTTAGGGTTCTCCAGAGAGTTCAACTAAGATCATCCAAGACCAAAATCAGTAAAAGGTTTAGCAATAACCTTTAAATATAACTAGATGCGAGCAGAATTTCGTTGCAAATAGACTCAGTCAGATAGCCAATACATGGCAGGAGAAGTACTGTTCGGCCGTTTCATCCACTCGGGAATCGTTAGTGGTACGCATTCTAGCTGATCCCTGTGGGGCACGAGCTCGCAACTCGACTGTCATCAGTGCGTGGTTGAGACCATTGGGCTACGAGGGACGGTAGCCGTTGATGCGACTAAATTGCCAGATGTGATATAGTGCCGCCATTCACTATCCAATGACTTGCACGTTAATGTCTTGCAGATGAAGGGACCGTTAACAAAGCTGTCTACATTGGACCGGACATGGGCAAAACGACAATGGACAGTACATTGATGATAACTTTGATATGGAGCGTAAGGTGGATAAAATCGTATGCAAGCTACAGAAGACCTAGAAGATGCGAGGGCAAAGGTGACGAGTAAGGAGGGAAGAGGAGGATGCTATCGCTATAATAAACAAATCGGGTTACCAAGTCCCGACTAGTTCAGTCACGGGAGCCCATAACACAGCCCGATCGGGTCAAATGTGTAATGTGCTTGAAAGTGCCTTCAAGTACATTTTCGTCCATTACAATTGCAGCACAGCCCGGTCCACAGTGACTCAGCTATCAACATGATTCGGTGAGGAGCAAAACTATGCATGGCTTTCAAGCCTCACCCATATCATGCAGGTGCCTTTAGAAACGGCGCACTGCGTATCAGTGGTGTGAGTGCCTATAGAGCATGAGGTAAGGTCATCGAGGCCTATGGAAAGAAGATATCGCACTTAATAAGACATTAGTTCTTGTGTTGATGAAAGTACAGTAGTGGGATGAGCGACTGCTCCCATAGTTTGAGCAGGAATGAGAGTAGATCAGGGGGAAACGCCACTGAACGCTGTAAGGCAACAGGAGTCATGGCTCGTAGGGCGCGACATCGTCAAAAGTACAATTGAAAATACGAGCTTTAATTTCAGAGTTGTGGTAACGCCTGTGTAGGTGTCAGAGTTTCTAACTATGTGAAAAGTTGCAGACCACTGTAGGTAGACTAAGTGGAGGGGCTACTACGATGAATATTTCCGCCAGTTTACAAAGGAAGCTCCACGCACTTTCCGTAAAATTGATAAAGCTATCAGCAAGACGCCGGCAAGGCGCTTCACAGTCACGTGACTAGCACCAGTTGCGCGCGGGCTAAAGATTTTCGGGGCTACCCGCACCTGAAGAGATGCGAACAGATGATCATCAGGCTACAACGCGGACTCCTTATCTCCTCGATCACCGGTCCTGTCAATGAAGTAAAGAGCTACAAGTGGTTTACTGGTTCATGTGAAGTAAGGTCATCAGCACACCAAAACGCAGACACATACAATGGTGAACCTCGGTCAAATTGGTTAGTGGAACCGTATTTGAAGTAGATAAAGGTTGCGCGTCGCGAACTACCACATAACAAGTGTTACAAAATGACCGCCAGGCAGTAACCATCGACAGGCGTTGAACGCGACTAGGTTTCGGCTGGTAGACTCTACGTCCTACAATCTCTGCCTGACGAAAGCAAAGACGAATGGAACTAGTGAACAGGAGGATTTCGCGAAACTATACTAGCTCGTCCCAGCAGCTCACAAGCCAGATAGTTCAATCCCCAATCCGCAAAAGCAGCAGACGATCGTTTCGTCTAAGCAAGACTCGTCATTGGTGTGCATTCCTTCAGTCCCCTATAGGAAACCGAAACCATGACTGCTAGCACATGCCAATGAGACATGGGGGGTGGCGGCAGACTGTCTTAGTTTGCAAGATAGCGAATTGCTGGGACGAATCAGTAAATTTTAATCTAAAATCCTCCTACTCATCAGTAATCAAAAGTCGCCGTCAGTCATAAATGCTATGCGTACATAGCTGTTGTGCAGCGGGAGTCGTTCCATTTGGAGGCCAGTCACTGTTCTCTGCAATTGTAATAGCTTGTGTGGCAGTAGAGGAGCGGGTACACTAAATCAAAGTTAGATCGAAGGTTAAGACGGCCTACCACCGTCCCTCATAACTCAATGGCATAAGCTGCCGGCTAGTTGGCGCGAGCTGCCAGCGAAGACGGGTTTGGTTCGATGCAGAGAACTGAGGGAATGTGCACCACTCAGGAGCCATAAACGAGCGAAACGATCGTCAGGTACTTTTCCGCATTGGTGGTTAGGCTATTTGGCTTGTGAGCTGTAGGGATGGGACTACTTGTGGAGTGCGCTGCGAGCGAGCGAAGGAGGAACATCCAGCACAGGAAAATACCAATATAACGAAATTCTGGGGACCTCAGAAAGTAATTCATTACAACGAAATCAAGTTATCTTAGATGTCGTTATAGCAGCACATCACTGCATTGATTTTATTGATACTACAATCAAACCATCACAGAACGGTACCCTCATGACGCAATCACGGAGAATGTTTTTGAAAACCAGACGACTGTAGGTGTCTGAGAGTTTGAAAGACGAATATGGTGAAGAAAGTTGTCATACAGTGTTGTGAAGGTACGGCATCTATGAAGTAGTGAGAGAAGATAAGGTACCGGACGCACAGAGGACTAAAGATAAAAAATAAGTCCGACTTCTTTACTTCTGGGATAAAATATACAAAATGATATCATAAACAAAATATCTGTTGGTCAATGAAGTTCCGGAGGTTTATGCGTTTATTGGTAAGATAGTAAAGAGACATTATTGTGTGCGAAGAAACGGATGGGTCGAGAAGATAAAGCCGGTGTCAGCCATTGGGCGCAAAGGGGCGAGGTACGGAAGTGTCCGAAATCAACGAAAAGACTAAGATTTGTAGCAGATACCACAAAACTATGAAGGCATCTTTCGGAAAAGCTCGACCCGCAAAAAAGTGGGAAAAAAGTACTGCTTTTGCGAAGAAGTGTGAGTTACAACGCGGAGACCAGTTGACTGGAGGCGGTTGGGAAGCATTTTGCAACACCAGGAGCAGTTGAGGGCATTTTAATTCAAGTGCAAGTTCGCGATAGCCATCATTCAGCTAGTTGTCATCAAAATACGAGCAGAATATCAGTGTTATGTAGTAATATTTTAGCTCGACTGCTTTTCAACTGAAAGTCGACTGAAATTCGTAAGATTTGTGCAGCTAAAATGCTGAGAGTTAACTAATCGTTACACAATTTGCTCATCGCCTACTCCTCACAACTGATGGCATTTAAAATCAACGGCTAGAAACAGAATGTTCTGGATGAATGAAAGGAAGTCCAGAGGAAAATTTGGTCAGCGTTACAGCGGGAGACGAGATCACTGGAAAAATTAAGTAGGATGGAGACTCAGTAGAGACAACTGAAACTGCTAGATCTAACGGACTATGTGAAATTTGGGTTGCCGCACATAATAAGTAAGTGAGTATTGTCAGCACCAACTCAAACCAGAGCCATAAACTCACGCGCGAAAAGGATGACGAAAAATGAGGGATGCTGGCTTAATTTAGTTATACGAATGTGCACAAATTAACTCCATTGATTGATTCGGGCCAACATGGCTCATAGAGAAAATAAAGCAGTCATGTAGCCGACTACTCACCAGAAGTACGAGCTTGATTCGCATAGAAAACGATATGGAGAGATGGTAGTACTTTGAAAGATTAAGAAAAATTATAGGATAGCAGTCAAGAGAAGGATGTGTTTTGTATGCCTCTACTGGGTCACTCAAAGTGTGGAATCAGTAATTTGCACAATACATTCAGCCAGTCCCTTCGATGAGAGTGGTGCAACTCCTTAAAAGCCCTTCAAAAAGCATCGACCAAGCAGTTGATGCTTCGTATGACTATAGTTCCGATACGAGGATGTGTTCCGCTGGTGTATGATGGGTAACAAGAGTGAGCTAAAAATTTGAACCGCAATAAACTATTCAGAGACCGGACCATAAGCTCGTGGAAAATAAGTATGCTAGGAGGGAACATAACTAGATAGTGGTTGAAAACATAGTTCATCAAGTCGAAGCGACGACAAAGCGATTGCCATGACTACTGGTGAGTTTGGTGTAAAACGATCAACATCTGTCCTGAGTTGATGTACATATGGTTGCACCAGCAACCGGCAAATGACTTAGATCAGAAACAACCATACGAAAACCCATGTCAACCCGATAAGTAACTGACAGTTAAGGATAAGGAAGACCACTGATAAGCCTGCTACCTTACGGATAGGAAAATAAAAGACCTCCATGACCAAGAAACGGCGATTTCGTTGAGGATACAATCAACAACTGACCTTGCCAGCTTCAGTCGCAGCGCAAAGCCAATCAAGTATGGTGCCTCCATTGTTGATCCGCTTTTCATTCGATGCGACGGCAAGCTAAAGAAGAACATGTAGAAACAGCGACTAACTTTTGCGGATCCGGAACCATCTAGCGAAATGTCCTCGGTGGAAGGCAGTTCGTCTTTCGCAGCACTGGAAGTCGCCGCAGTTAACTACGAATGGCCTCTAGATGCGAAGAAATGATGACTCACCTCTGGTTTACAAAGATGAGAGAACTTTTTATGTGCCGGTCTTTTTGCCTTTGAAGCTGCCTACAGATATGTAAAATAATTGAAACCAACATTTTTAACAGGAACATCCTCTTGGAGAGCAGTGCGTTTTTGGGAAGCCGCAGTCCGCCCACTGCGGCTAACACGGTAGAAGGTGGTTAAACCCACATTAGGCATTGGTACTTAGCGATGGGTAAGAGCCAGTATGGTGAGATGACGGCACTGATCAGCTAAAAAAGAGAAGAAACCAGGTGTAAAGAGACACATCACCATTTACAATGAAACTTGAAACCAAAAAGGACGTTATGCAAACATGAATATTCATGTGAACGTAGTTAGATAACATCACATGGGCTGGATATCTCTAAATCGTACAACCGACTTTATTCAACAGATGCGTCGCGGAGGACGAATGCGGTACGCATAGCCAGGTACCAATGTGATGATATTCCCAACGTTATATTTCTTGGCGTTAAAAAAGTGTAAAGCATACATGCGACTGAATTGGATGCTATGCGATAAAAAGTGTCATTTGTGCCTTGGTAAAAGTTTAGGACAAGTGGCTCAACAACGCGGAGGGACTATTGATCCCTGTAGTAGTAGCCCTGCAGTCATGCATCATCATACACGTTAGCTAGAGGTGGAAAACATCCTAGCTATGGCGCCGAAAGAATATAAGGAAAGAAGAAAATAGCCTGCAATCGAGGCATGCCAGCTGAGCCATCAATAATGGATGGGCATCGTCGCAACGAGACTGGACCTTAACGTGGTGCGACGGTTTGCGGACTTCATTGACCCATTGAGCTATACTGGGTGATGCCTCCGAGCATCTTGAGAGCTACTCCTACCAGGTTGGTCAATGGTGAGAGGTCAGACAAACTCAGTCTCCTGGTCCTCCAGGTTGGGGGTTTGAAATGGGATGGCGTCCATTTCTGTAAAACTAAATCACTGCCACCCCGCTGCCTTGCGGACAGGCTTTTGAGTCAAATGCTTTGGATGAGGACCCTAATCGTCCTCCTGTCTAGGTCTGGGCGCCCTGGCAGTATCCCAGCCCACATACAACCATGACATTTTCTTCAAACATAAACTTCATCCTGCATCGGCCGTCGCGCAGATTATCAAGGGTCGCCTTATCTGCTGCATACAGCAGGGCGGATAAGCGAAAACATGCTACTGCTGGCGCCTACCTTTCTTTTCCACCTTTTCTCTTACTCCCATCCCGGCCCTCATTACTAACTTTCCTTCTATAATTCCCAGCTTAATTGACAGCAACCGAAGTGCTACTGGAGTAGAACCATCTGCAGCCACCATCCCACAAGACCTATCGGACGCCTATCGGCAAAATTCCCTTATAAGGCCACGCTGTCCCGTTTCCATAGCGACATTCAACGTCCGCACTCTAAGACAAACAGGTCAACAGGCTGCACTCGCACGCACCTTGGACACCCTGGGTGTTGATGTGTGTTGGGTGTCCGAAACTAGGATTAATGACCCTAACGGGGTTATTGAATCGACTTCACCCGGCTTTTCCTCTCGTTATTGGTTGCACGCATCCGAAGACGCCGATGCGGCACTCACGGGTCAAGCTGGTGTAGGTATCATTCTCAGCTCCAGGGCTGGGTCATCTTTGGTTGATTGGATTCCGGTGAACAGCCGTTTATGTGCAGCCCGTTTGACTACATCAGCTAAGGTGAATTCGCGAAGTAAAACAAAACGCTGTTTGTTTGTGATTTCCGTTTATGCTCCCACCGACTGCAGTTCTAATGCAGTCAAGGACACTTTCTATCACGAACTGAACGCGCTACTACGCAGTGCTACTAGTTCAGATATTATAGTACTTGCAGGGGATATGAACGCATAAGTAGGGCGTCTGAGCTCTTAGAAGCTCAGCTAAGTGGTAAGTATGGACTTAACTCCGAACGGACTGACAACTGCGAGCGCCTGCTGCAACTGTGTGAGGAGCACCAGTTGTTGTTTCTTAGTAGCACTGCTTTTAGACACAGTGGGCGCCGAAGTGCCACTTGGCGTCCACCTGTAGCTGGCCAGCGATGGACCCAAATTGACCATATAGCGATAAGTTATAGGTGGCGCGGTTCCATTCTGGATTGCCGCTCGTACTGGAGTACCTGTGTCAACTCTGATCATGCCTTGGTGCGTTGTCGTTTCTCCATGAACTTTACCGGAAGGCGCACAAAGCGTCTCCCCCGATTGGCAACGGAGAAATTGTCCCAGCCCTCGGTCAGGCAAGCCTATCAAGAAGCACTGCAAAGCGAACTCTTGCTGTCTTGTCCTAATGACACTGAACTTCAGTGGAATAGGATCTCGGCCGCTATGCACGACGCAGGAGCATCTGCTTGTGGCACTATCATTCATCATCGCACCAGTCACTCGATATCCGATAGGTGCGTGAACCTGTTGGAAGCTAGAATACACCTCCCGGCTGGTTCTGAACACAATGTGACCAGACGGGCTATTAGGCGTGAACTAAAGCGGAACCTACGTGCTGACAAGGAAGCCTGGTGGACCAGTCGGGCTCAAAAAATAGAGGAGGCAGGAGCAGTAGGCAATTACCGCAAGATCTTCCAGCTAATCCGAACCACTGGTCCCAGAAAACCAGGCGTCAGTGAGACAGTCAGAGACAGCGCGGGTGCGCTGATACACAATAAGGAGCGCCGTATGGCTCGTTGGGCTGAACACTTTGAAGATCAGTTCAGCTGGCCCCCTGCTCCCGGACCTCTTCATACTCAGGTGATGCAGGACGTGCCATGGACAGTTAGTTTAGAGGCTCCGTCGGAGGCCGAGGTCCGAAACGCGATCAAGTCCTCAATCGTTTTCGTGCCGCTGGCCCGGATTCCCTCCCACTTGCACTATTTAAGGATGGAGGTGAGGTCCTCTGCAGGGCACTGACCTCCCTATTCGAACGTATCTGGAACGAAGAGTGTGCCGGATAATTGGAGCGAATCGATTATAGTGGCGATATACAAGAAGGGCAGTCGCACAGACTGTGCGAACCACAGGGGTATTAGCCTAACGCCAGTTGTGACAAAATTACTGGCCTCGATTATCGTTCGTCGCCTCACTGCGGAACGGGAATCTCGGATTACGAAAGAGCAGGCTGGTTTCCGCCCATGACGTGGCTGTATAGACCATATATTCACTTTGCGGCAGGTGCTAGAGCAGCGCCACGCATACCGCAGACCGACAATAGCTGTGTTCCTCGATTTCAAGAGTGCGTTCGATTCAGTCGATCGATCGATTCTGTTCGAATTACTTGCGCGAAAAGGTGTTCCCACAAAATATGTGAACATCCTTCGTGCTCTATACTCGAACACTACAGGCCGCGTCAGGGTCTATGGTGTCCTATCGGATAGCTTTTCGACTACAAGTGGCGTCCGTCAGGGTTGTCCGATTTCCCAGTTTTTGTTCAATTTCGTCGTGGATTCTATCATGGAGTGTTCCCTTGTGGAATCCAACGAAGTAGGCGTTGAAGTGCTGCCTGGTGAAAAGTTAGTTGATCTAGATTATGCGGACGATATCGTCTTGCTTTTCGACAACGTTGAGGCGGCACAATCAACCCTGAATAGCCTATCCAGAGTGGTCCCATTATTTGGTGTGCACTTCGCACCTTCAAAGTGCAAAGTGTTGCTGCAGGACCACCAGCCACTTGATGACCCCTTGACGCTTGCTAACGAGGAACTCGAGGTGGTAGATCAATTCACTTATCTTGGCTGCTGCATCAGCAATGATGGGCGCATAGAAACTGACGTGAGCTCACGCATTGCAAAGGCCAGAGCTGCCTTCTTGAACCTGCGTCATCTTTGGCGACAGAAGGGAGTTTCCCTCCGTCTGAAAGGCCGTGTATACAAGGCCACAGGGAGGGCCGTTCTACTCTATGGTAGTGAGACTTGGCCCCTTCGGTATGTAGATCTGAGGCGCCTTCAAGTCTTTGATCATCGTTGTCAGCGAAGCATTGCTGGTGTCGGATGGCACCAGCGTGTCCGCAACGATGATGTGCGTAGGCGAGTACTAAGTGGTGATGATCATGCTAGCTCCCTAGAACAACAGATAGCACTGAATAAGTTGCGTTGGCTCGGGCACGCGCTACGTATGCCTGGTCCTCGCTTACCTAGGAGGGCCTTGTTTAGTCTGCCAGGTGTAGGATGGTGCAAGGCTCGAGGTGGACAGAAGTTGACTTGGCAGCGGGAAATGAAGTCACTGACGACCAAACTGGATGCCGTTGGTCCGTCTCGCCTTCCGGGTTGGAGTCCACGTGACTCACCTTGTGCTTGGCTCGAAACTTTACAGGACATGGCTCGCAACCGACACCCGTGGCGCGTCTGCTGCCATCTCCTTATCGGATTGTCTGTTTAAAGTGTGTTTGGTGCTGAGTTATCTGCGAGGTAATGGCTGATTGTGACGCGTGGCAGTGAAAGCCGAAAGGAAGATGTCTCGTCGATGCCGCCTTATCTTTGCACGATAGCCAGCTGTTTGTGACGGTATGTTGTCTACACAAGGTGTAGGCGCCTTGACCCGGAATGTTTGCTTAGGGCATTAAGGTTTTCAGGTAAGTCACTTTTCTCTCCCTCTTATTCTTTATTTCATAGGTCCTCATGGTTGTATGGCAGTGAAGCATCAATTCAAATGGCTGATGTACTGCTGTTGATGATGATGATGATGGGCACCGTTCCGGAAAGCAACCAGTCGGTATCGTGCGCAGGATACTATCAGGTTGTCCAGGTCTAGACAGGAGAACGATTAAGGTTCTCAACCAAAACCTTAGGTTAAAATACCTTACCGCAATGCAGCTATCTTGGCAGTGGGCTACAAAGAGTCCGTTCTAAGGAATAAGGAGCCACCCTCACTCCAACCCTTAATCTGGAGGACTAAGAGGCTGTTTGTATAGTGTCATTGACCAATCATCATTGACCAATCTGGTATGAGTGATTCAAGATGCGAAAAGAATCACTCAGTACAGCTCAATGGATCACTGAAGCACGTAAATCATCGCGCCTAGGTAAGGCGATGGGTAGCCCTAAAGACACAAAAGCAAGTGCTGGGACGCGATCGCCATCCTAGTTATAGGCATGTTACTCGCCTTTGATACCATTCGCAACCAATCTTTATTCACGGTTAGCTGGGACAAAGGTCATAACGTACTCGGTGTCCATACCTACTGAGCGTGCAGCTTGATTCGAAAGTGCAGTGATGGTTGCTGAGCAAGTGACGGCAA